GAGAGAGGGAGAGAGAGAGAGGGAGAGAGAGAGAGAGGGAAAGAAAAAAAAAGAAAGAAAACAACAACAACAAAACAACAACAAAACATAAACTTGAAGAGAGGGGGGAAAAAAAAAAAAAAAAAAAAAAAAGGGAAAAAAAAAAAAAAAGAGAGAAGAAAGGTGAGCCTGTGTCCTGTTCTGGCGGCTCCGTGCTCGGGGCGGGCAGCGGGCGCGGATCGCGGCGCAGTGCCGCCCGCGCGGTGCCCAGCGCCGGGCCGGGCCGCTCGAGGCGCTGCGCTGCTGCCGTCGGGCGCTGAGCGGTGCTCTCTCCGTCCGCTCCGGGAGGAGAGGCGGCTTCGGAAGTCTCCCTCGCGGCTCCGGGGTGCTGCTGCGTTAATTGTTAATGCCATCTGCCATTAGAGGGCACTGCGCAACCCTGCTTTCAGCGCTCCGTGTGTGGAGGGAGAGGCAGGAACAGCGAGAGAGCGGCACCAATTCGGTAGAAAGATTTAAAAGGATGCGGAGCTCCCGAAGGGCTGGAAATGCCCGGGCTCCAGGCGGGACGGTGGTCGTAATGATAACAAATAACAACAACAATCGAAAAAGGAAAAAAAAAAGAAAAAAAAAAAGAAAAAAAGAAAGAAAGAAAGAAAGAAATGCGACGAGGTCAATCATTTACCAGTCTGCCGCTTAATGCGTGTGACTGCAGGTGGCACCGGGGATATTGTGATTCATGCCCACTTTCAAAGCGGGACCCGGGCCCAGGCTGAGGCACCCAAACAACTGTCTTCTAATATTAGCACGGCTGTATTTCTGGATCTATTATAGTCTGTCCAGACAGATCCCATTGTAATGGGATCTTTTATTAAAAGATTAGCACTATCTCCTGCAGTTGGTGGAAAAAAATCTGTTATCGCTGAGTTATTTGCAGTTGTGGGGAGGGGGCGGGCGGCGGGGGCGGCGCGGAGGAGGGCTCGGGGAGGGCCGGGGGAGGCGCGGGCGGCCGCGCGCACCGGGCCCTGACCCGGCACTGTCCGGGCATTCCTGTCTGCATACTTCGCAGTCTGTTGTGCTTTGGTGGCTCAGAAAAGCGAAAGAATCGAAATTAAAAAGGCAGCTTTTGAATAAACAATACCATTTTCCGTTAAGTAATCGTTTTGTATAAAAGGAAATATCGCCTACTCAGTTTCATTCAGCGGTGCCAAAAATGTTATAAATGAGCGACCGCCAACTTTTCTAAGAGGAGAATAATGCCAGACTGTGCTTAATAAACTAGTGCCCTAGAAGTTCATTATCGATGTTGCAATCTTTTCTGATTCTGAAAGGAGACCGCCTACGTCGCCCCCGTTCCCGTCTCGTCCTCCCGGGCTCCCAGTGAAAAAGGCCGTCACTTGGGCAGAGCCCTACGTACTAAACTTTAAAAAGGAACTTTTTAGTTCCTTTTATTTATTTATTTATTTATTCCGGTGTGCGGCTGATCGCTCTCCCTCTCGGGTTTCTGGGGGCCGAGCCCCACCGCGCCACCGTCAGCCACCTCCCGCCCGCGGCGGCCCTGCTCAGCTCCGCTCCGCTTCGCGCGGCGATGGCAGCCGCGGAGCCGCCGCGGGGCGAACCCCGCTCAGGAGCTGCTCCCGAGCCGCGTCGCTCACGGCGCCCCGCGGCGCCCCCCGCGCTGGGACCGCGCTCTGCGCCCGCGGAGGCTGCGCGATCCCCGGCCGTGCCGTGCCGTGCCGCCGCCGCGCGGGGCTGCGCGGGTGCGCGCTCGGAGGAGCGCGCCCGCGTGTGTGCGTGCACCTCCAGCAGATAATTGGAGAGGGTTTCCAGAAGGTGGAAAATGTCACCTGATTCACACTGAACTTTTTAAATCTCCCCACCCCCGAGCAGACACACACACACATTAGGAGACCGCCCACCGCAGACAGCTAAGACCCCCGTATAGATTTAAAGAGAGACTGCATTCAGAGCCTGACGTTCATTCAATAGAGCGATCATAAGCAGGCTGGCTGGTGCTCGCTCCGTCTCCCTACTCCCCTTCACGCTGTTCCTGTGTCTCTCTCACTCCCTGCTACGTTGAGGATGTTAAATCAGAGGATCCACCCGGGCATGCTCGTACTCCTGATGTTTCTCTACCACTTCATGGAGGATCACACAGCGCAGGGTAAGACCACAGCGCTTATTCGGAAGTGTGTTTTATTATTAGTGTTGTTACTATTACTCTTATTTTCCGTCTTTCGTGCGCTGCTTACTTCGCTGCGGTGTTACACGCCTCTCTCCAAGGTCCAACCGTACAGAAGTTAGCAGCGGGCGCGGGACTGCTCGGGACGGGGCACAGAGATGTCACGTAGTTTCTCTTCGGACCGGACCTTCCCTGCTCCGCATGGGCACGGAGGGCACTGGAAGATGTTTCTTGGCACTCCTCATGACTATGCGGCGTGAATGAGGAGCAGCATCGCGGGGAACTTTTCCTGTGCTCATGTCCCGAACGAGTGCTCAAAGTTTCTCGGTAATTTAGCTCAGATTTTTATCTCGCCTTCTGACAGAAGAGAAGGTGATGTGGAGCCCTGGGCGCACAGCTGACACTTTCAGAAAGCGGTGGTGGTCACTTTTCCGGACATTCCCTCAATATTGGGATTTCCTTCCCTCCCCCCACCCCCTTTGTGTGTGTGTGTGTGTGTGAATAAGTGCTGTAAATTCTCCTGCTATGAGGAGTGTGCCTAAATAAGTTTGCTTACTTTTATTATTCTTTCCCATGCGAACAAAACAATCCTGAACCTGATAGTGACAACTCTTAAGAGCCCTCTTTCGACACTAGGAAACACTGATTTTCAGTTTGGGTGTTTTTGTTTTTTTCCACCTGATCTTGAGTGTGTTTCAACCTGCATGGTCTAACTGCTGCTGGGTTTTCATTTTTTTCCCATTTCTTCACCCCCTCCCGACCTAGAGCAGAAGTTAATGTAGGCAACTGTAAGACGCAAAACTTTTTTTTTTTTCTTTAAGGGCGTTGTTTGTTCCATGTTTTGTAGCCGGGGAAAAGTGGGGGGGTGGGGGCTCGGGGGGTGGTGTTCCCCGCGCCCAGCGGCGCCCCGGCGGGCCAAGCCCGGCCCTGGTGCGGTGCGCTCTGTCGGAGGAAGAAGCAGGATAGAGCCCTCGCTGGATGGGCACTGGAATCAATTGGTATCGAGTCGCTGGAGGAGTCGCATTGGTTATTCACAAGAGGCTTATCCCAACCCAAACTCTCCAGCTAAAATAGGGGGGGGTTGCTTGGACTCATGTTCCTGGCTTGACTCCACGAATAACAGGGATACCAGTGAAAAAAAAAAAAAAAAAAAAAAAAAGAAAAAAAAAAAACCACTCTATCCGGTTTGAGGACAGTGTGCTTTTCTCTGAAACGCTCGCGGGAGAAACAGCACCTCCAACTTTTCCAGCGTGATCGATTCTGAAAAACTCCGCAGGGAGCTCTCCCTCGGGGTGCCCTCCCGTTTCGTGTACTTTCCTCACTTTATTTTTCTTTTTTCTGATCTTTGTTGTCGGAGGTCTGCTGAATTATTTTAGCCAAGGGAAGACGTTTGTTAATAGAAGCAGCGAAATGTGGAGATTTCGAAAGAGTTCGCTCACAGCGAATGTTCCCAGTCGGTGCGGATTGCAAAACGTGCTGGGGCTGGGGTGCGTGCGGCACTAACACAATGCTGCCGGGCGGCCGCGTCGGAGAGGGCAGGGGGAGGAGGGAGGAACTACAAGCGCGACTTTCTTTTTATTCCCTTTTAAATGCACATCCTTTTCAAGCCTCTGTCACGTGCCGGCAGTGCTCCTTCTGCTCTACATATGGAGTAAATACCTCGGAAGACTGCCTCGTGCTGTTCTGATCCCGTCTTTTTTCTTTCTGATTTATATATTATTTATTGTTATCTCACCCAAGCGGGCCGGGCCAGCTGCGGGTTGTGGAACGGGACAAATAAAGCCAGCAGTCCAGCAAAAGCTAGTGCGAGGCGCGCGCGGTGCCCGTTCCGCTGCTGGTCCCGGCACTGACCCGGCCCGGTGCGCCCCTGTCCCCCGCAGCTGGGAACTGCTGGCTCCGGCAGGCGCGGAACGGCCGCTGCCAGGTCCTCTACAAGACCGACCTCAGCAAAGAGGAGTGCTGCAAGAGCGGTCGCCTGACGACCTCGTGGACGGAGGAAGACGTCAACGACAACACGCTCTTTAAGTGGATGATTTTTAATGGGGGAGCCCCTAACTGCATCCCGTGCAAAGGTGAGAGGGCCGGGAGCAGCGAGTGGCTCGGGATTGGGGTGGGAGATGAGGGCCTGGAGACGGCAGCACTGTCCTCATGCTGCCCACCCCCCGAGGCTTGAGGGCTGTTCCAAAGCAGCCCCAGGGATAGGGGACTGCTGCTTCTCATGCGTGCAGGTCAGTGGGAGATGGGGAGGGGTCTCTTTGTGCATGGCCCTCCTGGCTCCAGGATTTCTTTCCAGGTCAGTTTCCTGCATGGTAGCAGTGGGGGGAGGGGGGGGGGGGGGGGGGGGGGGGGGGGGGGGGGGGGGGGGGGG